CTATATTTTTCTATAAATATAGTCAAACTTAAGAAATGAGTTAGAAAAAAAATTGTGTGATAATATAGAGAAAATCCCCTGTATACCCCTGAAAGTTCACCTAATCCCTTCTGTACCCCTGAATTTTGCTCAATCCCTTACATACCCCTGAATTTTAGTTTGGATCCCTTCCATGCCCTTTCCGCTAGTTGACCGTTAAATTTTTATGAAAAAGTCTATTTTGCCCTTTGCTATAAAGAAGCATATAAATTAATAGAGTATATTGTTGGAGCATAGAAATTTGTTATATGAGACTATTATGTTTATGAGATAGTTATGCACCATATTATTTGCGATAAATATACTTTTAGATATGACTAAAAAATTAATACTTATTTATTTTTTTTAGCATATGTGTTCTGATAGTAATAAACAAATATGTTGTATTACTATGAAAACACATATGCTACATAAAAGAACTTTTAATAACTAATAAATAAATATTAAAATTTTATATCATATATAAAAGTAAATTTATCACAAATAATATGGTGCATCACAAACTCATAAATATAATAGTCTCATCCAATAAATTTTTACATTCCAACAATGTACTTCACTAATTTATTATGTTTCTTCATAGCAAAGGGCAAAATGGACTTTTTCAAAAGAATTTAACGGTCAACTAATGGTCAACTAGCGAAAAGGGCATGGGAGGGATCAAACTAAAATTCAGAGGTATATAAGGGATTGAGCAAAATTCAGAGGTATAGAAGGGATTAGGTGAACTTTTATGGGTACATAGCGGATTTTCTCGATAATATACAATGGAGGGAGCAAGAGGATACTGTACTTACATATTGTTAATTATCAGCTCATGCTCTTAAAGAATTAAATATTATGACCTCACTGGATTGATGGATTAAAAAAATAAATATTATCACCTCACTGGATTCTTGGACGTGAAGTTTTCTGATTGATCATCTAAGGACATGATTAATGATTGCACGTCACATTAGTTAATTAGCAACTACTAAATAAATGTCTGACTTGTTACTATACTTAAAAATACTTATATAAAATGGAGGGAGTATCAGTATTATTATTAGTACAACCTTCCCAATCTGCAGAGAAGATTGGATCGGTCGAAAGGCAGCGCGCCAACCATACACTACAGAACTGGACATCTTAAACGGAATATCCACGTAAAAAAACACGCCCTGATCCGAGAGATCTGCTTAACTCTAGTGCAGAACCTAAATCTTGCCTTCGGATTTGAGACGTGCCAGTTGGTTTGATCCCACAACCAACAAGAAGCAAAGGAACCAAAATTAAATCCGTAAATGATAGCCGATCGGCAGGATTGGCGATGACATATCGTTTATAATAAGTCAATGTGATAAAGATCAGATCAGCAAAGGAGGATATGGCAGATGAAGTGTATAGCAAGCAAATTATTAAATCTACTCTATCAGCTATAGATATCAACAATATATAATCTAGGCTTCAAAGTACGTATAAACCAAGCGATTGGAATAGATCGGACAACGCGCCAAGACAGTATAGATCACTGATGTCTAAAATTACTCTAAAGCAAATATTATATATGTTTATAGCGTAGCCGATAGTATAGATGGCCATAAGGCCTGAGGCCCAATGGCCCGGCCCATGGCACGGCATTTTGGCCCGACCCAAACACAGCCCAAACATGACGGTCCTCGAAGCCAAGCCGGTGCCAAGGTCGGCGTCGATGGGGCGCACGGCCCAGTGGACTACCAGAGGAAGTCCACGCCGGACGCCTCCAGCCCGCCGGCGAGCTCCCGAAGCTGCGCGTGCGGCTCGGCGTTGAGCGTGCCGAGCGCGACGTACAGCACGGCGCGCCCGGCGGCCGCCATCTCGTCCAGCCACCGCATCCACGACGGCTTGATGGCGGCAGCGCTGTCGCCGGCGGCGCGGCACGGCTGCCGTGCCAGGCAGAGCGGGCCGACGGGCCAGGCCCTGTGGCCGACGTGGTGACAGTCCCAGTGCTCGATGTAGTGGGCTTCCATGGCGTGGAAGGTGTTGACGTCTTGACGATGAGGCCGCGGCTACCGGCGATGGCGTTCGCCATCTTGGCGTCCATCTCGATGAGCGGCCCCGCCGGCGACGGGTCGTTGAAGGGGACAGGGATGTCGGTGAGCGTGAGCCGGACGTGCGGGAACTCCGGCACGGCGAACGTGGCGCCGGCGCCGCCAGCCACCAGCGCGGCGGCCGGATTGTCACGCAGGATCACGTCCCGTATGACGTGCGCGAACATGCTCGTGGCGTAGAACGCCACCGTCGGGACCCCGAGCCCCGCCGCGGCGTCGTGCGCCCAGTACAGGAGCGCGTCGGCGACGAGGAGGCCGACGCGGGGCCGCGCGGCGGCGAGCGACGCCTCCAGCCGCGGGCGGAGCGCCGACATCGCCTCGACGAACGCCGGGGAGATGGTGGTCCGGGAAGAGGGTGACGGCGGCGAGGCCGCGGCGGCGGAGGAGGTGAGCGAAGTGGATGAGCGGGACGGTGTGCCCCCTGGCCATGAACGGGAAGATGGCGACGTGGGGGAGCTGCGCGCCATGACGACCAGCTCGATTACACGGTGAAGCCACCGCCGCCGCCATGAACGACCGGGAGTCCGGGAGCTGGTTGCTGATAGTGTGTACTGCGCAGTGGCTGCTAATTGATTGCTGCAGCTCCCACGTGTTTGGCACAAGTAATATTTAAGCACTCCAAAAAGATGCAGTGCTCTCTAGAAAAAAAAAATATTTCTCTCCCAAAATATACCTACACAGTAGAGGATAAAACATCATCAAATATTACTACCTAGATTCATAATACTAGGTGATGGGCCTGCTTAGTTCCCACCTAAAATTTTACACATTGTCACATCGAACGTTTGAACATATTACACTAAATATAGGCTAAAAAAATAACTAATTATATAGATTGCGACTAATTTACGAGACAAATATTTTAAACCTAATTGCTTCATAATTTGATAATGTAGTGCTACAGTAAACAGCTAATGGTGGATTAATTAGGCTTAATAAATTCGTCTCGTGGTTTACTGTCGGATTCTGTAATTAAATTTTTTATTAGTGCTTAAACACCCTATGCGACACCTTATATAATATCCGATGTGATACACCAAAACTTTACACCCTAATCTAAACACCCCCGATGTTTGTTTGTTTATGGCAAATAACAATGCAGATTGGGCTACGCTATATTTTGTCAATTATTAAAGCCCATCCTACACGTGCCATTTCTTTGTTAGGCCCATTTACCCGGATATAAAATTCAGCCCAGCTAAAGCTTTTGCAAAGGCAAAAGGAATAAGTTCCGGATACAACGCGTCCACCAACTTAAACTATGCAAACGAGGTCCCTCGGTAGTATTGACCCCGATTTTTGCTAACGCGGTGCTTACATAGATCTTTTGACTAGGTTTTCGTTCCACGTGGCATCACTACAAGAATCTATTTAATCTGTGACGAAATTTGACGAAATTTTCATGATGTTTTCAGAGATCGTCATGGATATGCAACTATGGATACAAAACCCATACGTGGCGCTTGCATGGCAATTAGATTAAATAATAATAAAACCCGTGGGGCCCACATGTCAGTTACACACAATAATAAAAAAGGTGGGGCCCATGTGGCCCCATGTGTCATCTTTACTACCGTTCCTCTCTCTATCCTCTCTCCCCTCCAAGAAGGCCGGAGCGGCCGGCGGGCAGAGTAGGCCAGCGGAACGGAGCGAGGCAGGCATGGCCGGAGCGACGGCGACCGCTCCACTCCCCTCTCCCTTCCCCTTTTCGGCATGTGGGTGGCGGATGGCACGGAGCGCAGAGTGGTGAGGCGGAGAGGGCCGAGCGGCTGCCGACGGCAGGCAGCGTGAAGGCCGGCAGGTGACGGAGAGATTGGCTCTACAAGGCGGGGCCAGTGGGCGGAGGAAGGACGGTGAGCTGTGGGCCTTCCCCTTCTCTTCTCTCCCTCCATAGATTGGCGCTACACGGCGGGGCCAGTGGGCGGAGGAAGGACGGTGAGCTTTAGGCCTTTCCCTTGTCTCCTCTCCCTCCCAAGCCACGGCCGCCGGCGGTGAACCCTTGTGCGTAGGGAAGAGGAAGAAGAGGGGATGAGGTCTCCAGCGCCTAGTCGCAGGGTCAGCCTCCGCCACGCGTTGCAAGACCACCATTGTCGCGGGTGTCGTCTTCGCGATGTCCTTCTCATCGTCGTCCCCTCCGGCGCTTCCTCCCCCTGGCGTCGCGGGCCTAATCCGATGAGGTGGTGGACGGAGGCCTGGGCAAGGGGGTGAAAGTAAATGTGGTTGACGACGCTGACGAGTGGGTGCGTGCCGGCGTGGGTGACGAAGTCAATGACCTCGAGCGCTGCCTTAACTATGCGGGGCATGGCGTGCTGGAGCGGCGGCCATTGCCATCCACTGCTGGCTCGCCATCCTCTCTTGCCGCCCGTTGCCCTTTCCCGCTGGTCGCCGTCACCGCCCAGTTTCTCTCCCGCTCCTCGCCGCCCGCCTCTAGGGAGGGAGATGGGAGAAGGGGAATGGGGCACGTGACCAGAGGAGATGCTCCCACGCCAACATCGACACCTTCCTCCACGGCATCGCCAGTTGTCACAGAAGCCCTGCTCTCGCCGATGCCGCCGAGAAAAAGTAGCAGAGAGAGACGAAGAAGGAGATTACAAGTCACTGACATGTGGGGCCCACTATTTTTTATTTTTTATTTAGACTGAATTACCCTGACATGTGGGTACCACACTTGACTCAGCTGCCATGTCAGCTCCTTTTATTGTTTTCCGGATCAAATAGCCACGTAAGCACCACGTCAATGCCACGTAGGCATCACGTCAGTCAAAACCGGGGCAATACTGCCGAGGGATTTAGTTTGCATTGGTTTTTAAAGTTCAGGGATGGATTGTATCTAGTTTTGTAGTTCAAGGAGGAAATTAGAATGGGCGACAAATTTAGGGACCTCAAGTAAACTTATTCCAAGGCAAAAACATGTCCATAAACATTGTGATCTTCCTTCCATATTGCATTCGATTACACCCTAAAAATCGTAAAAAAAAGTCCGTCCTTATAATTTTTAATCTGCTTAATTTATACATTAGCATCATATTGCTAGTAACCAAGCATAAAAAAGGAATATAAAAGGAATATAAAAAAGGAATAAAAAAGGAATATAAACATAGAAAATCCCAGCCAGAGATATCACTCGATCAATTCCAGAACCACTCCCAGCTGTTTAGCGGCGCCTCCTCATCCGCCGCCACCGTCGCCGCCACGGCGTGCTCGAAGGCGTCGCCGACGAGCGTAGCGTCGACCGGGAGTAAGACGGAGGAAGAGGGGTAGTCGTCGTCGCTGCCGGCGCCGCCGCAGTCGTCCTCCGACGACGAGGGCGGCGAGCGAGCGCCGGCGAAGTAGGACTCGGGGCTGTCGTTGCTGGCCGCTCTTGCCGCCGCCACGCGCGCCGCCGGCATCGCGACGCCGCCGCCGCCGCCGTTGGTGGTGGTGGTGCTCCCGGCGGCGTCGTAGAGGCGGCGACCTTCTTCGAGCTGAAACGACTTGGCGCTTTCAGGTGCGGCTGGCACGGCGGTTTGCTCCGCCGGCGCCGGCGACGGTGACGGTGACTTCCCATTAGCTTGCAGCTTCTCGGTTAATAGGATCACCTGCCACGTGGCACATTTACATCATGATCAAAATTCATTTTCCTTGACTCCATATTGTTGAAAAGTACACATGATCGAATTGCGATTAGTGCAAATGACAAGTCAAATGGACTGTCCGTATTTTGCCAAACACATTGAGCCCACTAATAAAATCTTGAGGTCATTTCTTATCCATAATGGAATTAAGTTGTAAGATTCTACATATCGCGGTTTGCATAAACCGATAGAAATAAAATTTCAAAATTTGGACCCAAAATAAGTTGAAATTCAAAAAAAAATTGATTAAATATAAATTAAGTTCATAAGAATTTTACTAATTTGGCCGATATAATATTCTGTCGAGGGACGAATAGACCCGGTCTATTTTTTGGAAATTTCAGAAATTACGTTCGATATTAAACCCTGAAGTGGTATGATTGCTCAGAGGGGGGATGGTAGTACATTGATGATCCTTTTATCCACTTCAAGTCTACTATTGTCAAAAATGAAGAATAACAACATAAGTAATACGACGTCTATTAAATATGACACTTGGCTTATCTAAAATAATGATTGAGTTGTGAACATGCGTTTCAAGGTATGAATAATGGTTTAACATTTGCTATTTTTATGTATGAGTTTTCCACAAAGACACGGTGATAGAAACAGCTCGTGCAGTATTATATTATCTATTAAATTATCTAAAGCTGCTAATAATATACCTCTACGGACTATAGATACGATACAACGATGTAAAACTGTTTTTATGACTGTGTGATCGTCAGAAAATGATTATCTTCGGTTCCCTTTGATGATCAACAAACGATGTAAAATTGTTTCTACGTTGGACGGTTTGACCACTCATCTTATTTTTCTAAAGAAAATCTAAGTATAATTTATTTATGGTGACTATTACTAAAAGTATTTTAAGCCCAACTTATGATTTTTATTTGCATAATTTTCTTATTATACAAATAATTAAACTTACGATTTAAAGTTAATGGAGTCATATAAATTAAAATATATTATAAAAAATCTCAATTCTTGTTTAAACCTAAAAATTCTTTTTCTAAAAGTGAGGCCTTAATAATTAGTGGCCCTGACTATGATGTATCTCGGGGTTAGAATCATCTATCTTTAAAATCACGCGAGTTTGTCACTGATACGTGAGTCGGATGAATTCTGAATCCACATATCAGTGATAAAAAAGAAACGATGATTTTGAAGGTAGATGATCTCAGTCCTGTGATCCGTCTCACTCACCTGAGATCGGAGGCTCTCGTTGTCGGCGGCGAGCGCGGTGCGGCCGGCGAGGAGCTCGTCGTGGGCGGCCCGGAGGCGGTCGAAGTCGAGCTCGAGCTGCTTCGTCTTCCACCTCGCGCGGCGGTTCTGGAACCACACGGCCACCTGCCGCGGCGCGATCCCGAGACGCCGCGCCAGCTCGCTCTTCCGCTCCGGCTCCAGCTTCCGCTTCTCCTCCTCGAAGCTCCGCTCCAGCGCTCGCACCTGCTCCGCTGTCAGCCGCCGCTTCCTCGCCGCCGCTGACGACGACCCCTGCTCGTCGACGCCGTACAGCTCGTCGACGAGGTCCTCCATCTGGAGCTCCAGCTCGTCGTGCGTCGTCGTCAGGAACGGCCTCTTCCGCCGCCGCCGCCGCAGCTCGGCCTCCTCCATCACCGGTGAGCCTACACGTTCACACACGTAAGCAACGCGTTCCAAGCTATATATATAGAACCACTGATCTGGGTCGATCGACACCTCCGACGAAGCCGCCATGGCCGCCAAAGAGCAGCATCTGCCCGCCTCCCGCGCCGGCGGCGCTGCACGGCGGCGCGGCGCCGGCGGAGCTGAACACGAGGCGGCCGGAGTAGTCGTCCATGCTGCACATGTACACACCTCTCTACTCCACCTCGTTGTCAAACTGTAAATATATATATATATATATAATCTCTCTACGTATATTAGCTATAAGCTCGTCCGCCTCCTCTCGAAACACGGAGGCAGACGGGCACCGGCCGGCGAGCCGGAGCTGAGCTAGAAAGCGGCGGCGATGGCGGCGGCGGCGGCGGCGGCCGGGAACTTGTGGCGGAAGAAGCTGGTGCTCCACAGCAAGCGCGTGGACATCTTCATGGGGTGCAGAGAGAACCCCATGCCGCCGCCGCCGCCGCCGGTGGGGAGGTTGGTCAGGCCAAGGTTGATCGGTGCGCGGTGGCCGGAGAAGCGAGCCAGCGGCGGCGGAGGGACTGAACTGTAAGAAATATGTTTTTTCAGGGGCCTGGTTGGTTATTAGTTGCTGGCCAGTGGAGGAAATTGGACTTTGTGAGGGGAGGGAGGCTTTTGTGGGTAAAGTCTTGAGGTTGGAGGAGGGAGGGGTTTTATAGGCCCAAGGCCCAAAGGGACAGCTAGTGTACATTGACGAAAATACCCCTATTGTTATTTAAGTGTTAATCTTTAATTTAGGGTGTTAGTAATTAGGCAGCACGCTTTGTGGTTTATGTAGTTAGCCTGATGTTGGCCTCTCATTTTGGGGGATAAAAGGTGCTTCCAACTGACTTGAGAACAAAAGAAATTGTTGATGCATTAGGTGTACAAAAATCTTGATACAAGCAAGTCTTCAACTCTTACCTCTATATGAATATAATGATATCTCTTTTAAGTAGTGATGAAAACGAAGCGGATTCAGACGGATAGTGGTAATACCGTATAATAAACCATATCTTTTAAGTGGATTCGGAATGGATGCGGAGTAGATTCTTTCAGATGTTAGAAATGGTATGGAGTCGATGCGGGCTCAATTGAAAACGGATTAAATTTATCGGATGTTACGTGTATATGCAATCAATACAACATTGAATGAGCAATGCAAGGGACAACAATACAATTGTCAATAAATGACCCATCGAAATAATTAAGTGCTAAACAACATAAATATATGATGATCATAGTATAAATACATAGCTACGTACGAAGTGTTAGATGATTCTATGAAAGCCTCAAACTAAGGGGACTAGATTAATTGATGAATTAGGACATTGGATGTGCCGTTCTCATGTCATATGTATCCTATCAAGTGGTTACATGGGTTGATAATTTTGGATTATTCGGCAAACGGCCTATCGGAAGAAAGGTCGGATAATCCGCATCCACCGGATTTTAGAGATACCACATCCCATCCGAATACGCACCACACTATCCGCATCCGCATCCATATTCATCGGATTTCTAAAAACCATACCATATCCTCGTTGCAGACGGATTCAAAGTGGATCGATCGGATGGATATTATCCTATTTGTTTTCACCCCTACTTTTAAGATTTGATACATGCTTACACGATAAAAGTGTGTGCGTTCGTTCATAGGTAGGAGCAGTCCCAACCATAGGAAAGAGAGGCTCAAGGCCCTCCTATCGATCATTGTCAAACCACTACTAGAAAAACCATTTTTGCCGATGTTGGGTATTTTTTTCGCAGGCGGGTATGGTCATCGGAGCCAAATGGCCACCTGCAAAAATATAAATCGGGTTGAAACTCGCTGTCCGCCTACAAAAAAATCTATTTTTGCATGGCGGACCTCTTAAGTGGTCCGCCTGCAAAAATTGGCGTGGATATAAAAAGACACAACAACAGCCCGGATTTTTTCTAAGACACTGTGACTAAGCTCTCCTATCTTCCTCACCTCTCAGCTCTCCTCTCTCCCTCACCTCTCCTCTCAGCCACCGGCGACATGGGTGGCGCGGGGTCGGCGGCGGCGGCCCGTGGCCCCCACCCCCGGTGGCGGCGGCGTGCCCACCCCTAGCGGCGGCGCACACTCTCCCTCCCAAATCCGGCATAAGGGGGGAGGGGGGAGGAGAGGTGGCGGCAGCGGTGGTTCCCTCCCTCCCAGATCCGGCCGGAGGGACGCCGGAGGAGGGCGGTGGAGGCGGCGACGGTTCCCTCCCTCCCAGATCCGGCCGGAGGGAGGCCGGGGGACGGAGGTGGCGGTGGCGGCGATTCCCCTCCCTCCTAGATCCAGCCGGAGGGAGGCAGGGGGAGGGCGATGGCGGCGGCGGGGGTTCCCCTCCCTCCTAGATCTGACCACAGGGATGCCGGAGGAGGGCGGTGGCGGCGGCAGCGGCACCTCCCACCCCCGGCAGCGGCGAATTTTTTTTTTGTTTGCCGCAATGATTTTCGTAGGCAGGTGACTGGGCCGCCTGATTTTCGCAGTCATTTGCTTCCAAGCGGACCGTTCCCCCGCCTAGAAAAATAGTTTTTGGCTGTCTGAAATTTTTCTAGTAGTGAACCCATACATACATTTCAGATTTTAAGATATGTTCATGCTATAGGAAAAGCTTAATGATTATAGCATAATTAGTTCTTTTAGTTTTCTCGATATTTACTTATAATATATTCATGAATGTGCTTTGGATTTGTTTTATATTTAATCCATTTATATTAGTTTCTTTTTATCTTTTATTCCATTGGCACCTCCTAAAATTTGGTTCTGCGTTCGTCATTATTCATATAATAAGATTGTATGCGTGTATATGTGAGCACCTGTGTTAATAATGTGTTTTTTTTCTAGAAGAAACATTATTATCTTTGTCATGAATCAGAGATTATAAGCTGTTGCAACCACTGCAACAGTCCCATATAAGGAGGGTGCATTAACGAAAGTCATCGAGACCATAACCGAGTGAATTTTGCAAGCTGTGATAACTGCTGGACGAGTCACTATCATCACGTTATATATTACCTGACCTGTTCTATTGACTACATGATCATCTCTGTTTTGCCACCGTTTCGTTCGGGTAAAAAGACAATATTGCTACCTACAAAAAGCACCCTTTAGAAACCTAAAAGGCTATGCTAACTTCTAAGAATGGTTCACAAATCACAAGTAATATTTGGCACTCTAGTTTTTATGCTTTTCTCTAACAAGTTTTATGACAATTAGCTGGGTATATAGTGTTTGTGTCAGTCTCATGACTGGGAAACACGTAGAACTATAATATGAATTGTGGTTGAACTATAATATGAACTAAATCCTTGTGGTTGAACTATAATATGAATTTAATTAAGCGCGTGATTGAACGAATCCTGGGACTTGGTAATTGTTGTACTATGTAAGCCATGTTCTAATGTTCCCATTTCAAGTATTAAAACGGTAATGGCTGCGACTCTTTTAGTCAACTTTTGTTTAATTTGATGGCCCATTTATGTATAGGAATCGAATCGACTACAATTGACAAAACAAAACCAGAAAAACTGTCATCAAGTCATCTCATGTTGTGATGGAAGACAATTACTGATATAGAGAATTGGTCAAGAGAGAATAAAACATACTAGCTAGTATTAATCAAGCTTGGGTTGGTTAGTGGATACTTCTAAAACAGTGATGGAATGAAATTAATGACCGCACGCTTTCCGTGCTCCAAAATGGTGTGATTTTCGTAAAACTTTTCCATATATAAATTTATTACAATTATTTTAAATTCATTTTTAAACTTTATAATATTTAATTGATTTGTGTCCTCGAATAATTATCATACAACATTTAACTATTCAGTCATTCAGAAAAAAGACCAAAAAATAAAATTAGGTAGCTGTTCACCCTTCTACCAAAAGAGTACTACTATACAGTGATGAAGGGAAAATGAGAAACAATATTGGATAGTAAATCTAACATTTTATTTGTCATCCAAGGCCGTGCTACAACTCTATGTTCTCTACAATTATGACCTTTCGGTATTTTTTGAGATTCTCTCAACAAAAGATTGCATCCAAAAAGCTGATCGAAATCAAAGAGGAAATACTCTTCCTCCATTGGTACGTTTTCACCAAATGTGCATAAGTTAAAAGGGGTAGCGCACGAGACCTAAAAGTGGATGGATGCAGAGACAAAGGATTTAGACAGGTTCAGGCCCTCTCAATGAGAGGTAATACCCTACTCCTGTTTGGGGATTTGAATCCGCCGGGTGTGTATTGATCTGACGATCAAGTTGTCTCATGCCCCTAGAGGGGGCTCCCTGCCCTCCTTATATAGGTTGGGGGGCAGGGTTACAAGATAGAAACCTTAACCAAGACGGTATCGGTTTCCTAAATCTACTTTACAATCTTATCAAACCAGGACTTTAGGCCGTTCCATAATATACAAGGAAACGTAATACCCAAGTCATGATCTGTTACATATTCCATACATATATGTTATCCCCTATTACTAGTCGGATAACCATGCCGTGTGGATATGGGGTACCCATAATCTCCACAGTAGCCCCTGAGACATTCACAGTCGAAAATATAATCTTCTCTCGAACTAGATTACTCCAAAGCCGAGTGCTTCAATCATCTTCGCCATGGTCTCCCGAGTACTTTTACCAAATCTGAAGACTGTGGAGGGCTGAAAAATAAAGTCAGGTGCATCGAATAGATGCACCTAATAGGTGTAGCCCCCGACTATGTGGTTAATTGAACCAACCAAACATATAGTCAAGGAATAAATAATCTAACCAACCGAGTGGTTTTGATAATTGTAATCAACCAAGTGACTTGATATCAATATATAGCATATGCGGTGTGAATCCCCGAATAATATGATCCAAGTGATATACCGACTGCTTGGCAAAATATGATGCGTATAACCTAAAGTTGACAACATCTTTGAAAGTTCACATAGCAAAACAACTATAAAGAAGCTTGAATGCTGTGAATAAAGAAATTTCCAAAGTATTGGGCATACGCCATGCGCACACTGCTTTAACAGATGTGCTTAAGTCCCTAAAAGACACATGGTTTCACCACACCTGGAAATATATGGCACATGTGGTATAACATCCGAGTAAGTAAACTCATAAAGGATTTACCAACCGCCTGAAAAATGACCATAATATATAATCAGCCTAAGCCATAATATTGGTCAATAAAAATGCACACTTACGTGGCAAAAAGCAATGATATTGTATCCAATCAATTGCTTGATAAACCCAAACAGCACCTTGACTATATAAAAAAGTCAACGGGGCAGCTATATAAAGCTTTACTGTTTGACACCTTTTAAGATGCATTGTACCAACTCCTAAAAAGTCGAGTAACTGCGGTATAAAAGGACTTTAAGGTATTGGGCACTTGATCACGCGCACTTTGGCCTAAGCGAAAAGTGCCTAAGTCCCTAAAAGAACGTGACAGGCCACACCTGAAAATATGGGCTGCAGACATATTAGGCCTAGGCCAAAAAATATGCCTTCGACACCCTTTAAAGGATGACGCATGTAACATGATCCCGAGTAATAAATCTTCCGGGTAATATAGACCAAGTGTAGCTCATATGAATAGCTTCTGATCTGAATGATTATCCCTTATGGGATACTCTAAAATAAATA